GGTCAGCGCTCACAGGTGTTTCCAACGTGGGGCGCGATGTGGTGACGTGTGTTTGTGTTTTTGGTGGTGGGTGATCGATGTTTGTCTCTCTGTCTCTCCCCCTCCATCCTATTCTGCCTGAAAAACCAACGGCAGAGTGTCCCCGGGTGAGGATCAGCAGCAGCAAGCCGACCCCGGAGGGGGCACGCAGAGGTCGTGTGTGACCCCGGCGGCTGTGAGTGGGAGCGACGCAGGACGCAGACACGGTGTCCCCGGCGGGGGTGGGGCCTGAGGCGGGTGTGTGACACGCAGCCCTGAGGACAGAGGAGCGGGCCAGGCGCACGGACATGTCCTCGGGGAGCCCTGGTCTGGCTTCCAGATGGTCAGCGCTCACAGGTGTTTCCAACGTGGGGCGCGATGTGGTGACGTGTGTTTGTGTTTTTGGTGGTGGGTGTGCGGTGTTCACTCTGAAAGCAAGGATTTCGGTGGGAGGCCCCTGCAGGGCCTGGGCTGGAGGGCAGCGGCCGGCGTGAGGCGGTATGAGGTGGCCGTGCAGCCTCCACCAGGGCGGGAGCGACTCCTGCCTCAGCACCAGGACCGAGCCTGCAGGGGCCTGTGACACAGGCAGGACCAGGCCTGAGGCGTCGCGGAGTTCATTCACTCCACCGCGACTCCTGAGCCTCTGATGCTGGTGTGGACGCTGGTGAAACGGGACCAGACCCTGCCCTGGCTCCCGGAGACAGACAGACACGCGCAGGCAGTATCTAGGAACTGCTGGGGTGCTGAGTGCACGTGGACCTTGCGCTGAGGGGGAGCAGCTGCTGTGGGGGAGTCTGCAGGCCCCTTGGCGTAGGCTGCGGTCCGTCCTCACCTGGCCTCGTCCGCAGGTTCCGCCGTGGAGCGGCGTGACCTGTCACCCAGGTTATCCGGGCCACGTGCCCTAAGCGAGACTTCAGCTCCTTCGGGGCCACGTGCCCTAAGCGAGACTGCAGTTCCTTCGGCGCCTCGTCAGCGTTGTAACCAATGGGGAAGGAAGCGACGGATCAAGTCCTGCTGTCCTTGCAGGGTGGGCAGGAAGCGGCTTTAAAAACATTATTTTTTATTGATGTCAGAGAGGAAGGGAGAGGGAGAGAGAGATGGAAGCCTCAATGATGAGAATCATGGATCAGCTGCCTCCTGCACGCCCCCTACTGGGGATCGAGCCCACAACCTGGGCATGTGTCCTGACTGGGAATCCAACTGTTACCTCCTGG